TGCACCCCGCTGAGGCATGAGGGCTTCTCAGTCCGCACGCTGACCTTGTTCTTACGTGGCTTTTCTATTATGCCCTGCTCACTGTCACTCTCTTCTTTCACTTTTGCCTTCTTCCTTCTCTTCTTCTTCTTCTTCTGGCAGGACTCTGTGGTTTCACACTTGTGGCCATTGCTGAGCTCCAGGAGCGGTGCCTGCAGGCCACTTTGCTTCAAGATGTCTGCTGCTGACACAACAGCCTCTTGGCATCTCTGCCATTCTTGGTCTTCATCTGTCTCACTGGAAGAGTTAACAAGCAAATTGAGGAGTGAAACCTGTTCCTTTCACATTCACTAAAAATGTACATCAGAATTTCAGGGCAACCTGCGTAGTTGGATACTATGCATTTCAAGGGTGTACAGAGTTTGGGAGGATTCCAGGCTGCTCCTTTGGCACACACAACCCAGTACACACAGGAGTATGTGACCACAGCAAATGTAGGCAAGTTTAAGTTGTATACAGATATTGCAGTCTAACCAGAGGAAGGAGCAATTTTGGGCTGCAAAGTTTTTTGCCATATTGTATCTCCTTTCCACCCTACAAAACATTACCAAATTTTGGTAAGAACTATGACCCCTTGGGATGGAGTAGCTGTGAAATCCAACTACAACAACAACAATAAAATTTCTTGGGTGCTCCAAACTCCTAAGCTTGACAGATAGAAAGATCCCATATGGGTAGAAATATTCTTGTGGCTGTAACGTATGTGACACCTACTCTATGAAAACCAGTTTTCCAAACTTTACGAACTAGAAAAGCCAATCCAATCCAACTGAATAAACAAGACATGTGGTCGCCAAGGGAAGCTGCATTTTACAGGCTAATGAAACAATGAGACAGCCAAGAGAAGACTTGGGGGAGGAGAAACTTATGGGAGAGGGGAAACTAGAGGAACAAAATTCAAGGGATTCTGATTATCCTGGGGACACAAGACATCATGTGATTTGTTTTCACAGGATATCTGAGTTGAGTGCAGATGGTGTGAATTGGACCAGAAAAAGATTCTGTCTGGGGTGGGTGCCCTGACATCTCTCACACAGGAGCTCTCCATTGCTGTAAAGAGATCCTGGGGTGTACCTCTTTACTTGTGTGGTTCAGCAGCCAATCTGGCTCTCTTCCCATTTATAGGAACATTAACAGACTTAAATTAATATGTCTAAAGGACTCGAGCTAGCTACAAATATGTTTTTAGATATTCAAACCCAAAAGATCAAAACCAACACCCTTGATGTATGTCATATCAAATGTTATGAATTTGTACACCTGAATTTGTAAATTCCATGGCAACCATTGCAAGGCCTCAACCAATGAAGCTCAGGGCTTTGCTCTGGAAATGCTTCAAGACAGCAGTTCTCAACCTGAGAACTTCATTGTAATATTTTTATCAGACTCCCAAATCCTTCCCTTCCTCACTGCCGTTGGCCCCTTTTCAAAGTGTGTGCAGCAAGCATTCATGTCTCAGGGAGGCCTCCACCCCCTTGCATCTCCAAAATAATATGAGACCCCTACCCACTACGTCTTATGAGCAAGTTTAAGTAAAAAGTATTGTATTGTCTGCACATGACTACAAGGTCAAGTCTAACAGGGTGGCTGATTCTATATGACCCCAACTCCAAAGGTTGTGACCCAAGCCCTGATCAAGCTCACCCTTTGATTGGAAGGAACTTTGTGCTGGAGCCAGCAAGAAACTTCCTAGCTGATTAATAACTTCCAGCCAGCATCCAGCTGAACAGAGATAGCAAGTACCTGGGAAAGTTTGCTGAATTGCTTACAGAAATAGAAAAAGACTGACATCACACAAATCTTGAACTTTTGGTATTCAGCTGGAAACCAAGATTGGCTGTTATTGTATATTGACACAAATTGGCATCATCTATCTCTATGCTCAAATCCTTTACATGGGAAAATAAGAGTGAAAAACAGTTTTATACGTAAGTAACTTTGGTGACTGCATTATAACTGTACCTCCTTTGGTATCACTCAACTCATATAAGAGTTCTTTGAGTTGAGTGATCAGGTCCCAGCAACCAATCAACACATTTCTAGTAGTGCTCTGAAATGATCTTGGGAGTGTGGTTTCTGCGGGCAGTGGCAGCTCTGTGAACGTTCTACATTCAAAAAGACATGGAAGCCAATTCTGTCTCCTCCTCTAAGGCAGGGAGTTCTTTGCCCTCATTAGAAGAAAACTGAGAGGGTTGTTTCCATGTCCATCTGATGGGCACAAAATGGGCCTACTCTGTCCTTATAGAGGGCTCAAGGACCCTCTGGATAACTTTGCAGACCCCAGTCTGAGAAATGGTGCTCCAAGGGAAGAGCAAAAAAAAGCTATGAAGCATTTCCCCAGTATCTTCATTATCTAAACTTAGTATATGAATGGGCACGGTGCTCTCAGCTGGGCAACAGTGTGAGATGATGACCTCTTTTTGCCATGGGACCCATCCAGTACGTTAAAGGTCAAAAATAGCATTTTGACGAGCCCAGGAAACCCTACAAAGCCAGTACAGAGGCATCTCTACAATGTGCGCAGAATGGTGGCACTCCCTTAGAAGGCAAGTCCCATCACTGGCGGCCTCCAACCTGACTTGTGTAATAGAGATTTTACATTCACACTCACTCTCTCTACAACAGCCTCTAAGGGACAAACACACCACAGTAATGTCTCACCTGGAGCTGGAATGCTGCAGTTGTCTGCTTTGCAAGGGTGAAGGTTCTGGCTTTTCACTGGCTCCTGGGATAGATGAGGAAAAGAAACGAAAGCCTAATCCATTAAAAAGAGGGGGGGAAGGAGGAGAAGAAATTAATGCAACCAATAAATCAGGCCCACACCAGGAACTACTGTACTCAAATTTATTTCATTTATTTACTAATCTCATTTGTACCCCGCCCTCCCCACAATAAGAACATAAGAGACGCCAATGTTGGATCAGGCCAATGGCCCATCCAGTCCAACACTCTGTGTCACACAGTGGCCAAAAATACCAGGTGCCATCAGGAGGTCCATCAGGGGGGCCAGGACACTAGAAGCCCTCCCACTGTTGCCCCCCCCAAGCACTGGGAATACAGAGCATCCCTTGCCCCAGAGTCCCTATCTATACCTTGTAGCTAATAGCCACCGATGGACCTCTGCTCCACAATGCTCCACAACCCAGAGACTCCAACATCAGTCATTGCAGCTGTACCTGCTCTAGCCAGTCACAGAGGCTGATGTTGTATGTATACATTCCTTTTGTGCCCGAGGCCCCAGCATACTCAGCCACAGAGCATTCACTGGCTATGCTACAACCCCAGTGCAGAGCCTCCCCGGAGTTCCTGATGTACAGATATTCAGGATGCAGGGAGAAGCAGGATAACACCAGGACTGGCATAAAGACAAGCAGCAAATGCAAATCTAGTAGGGAACTCACCGTCATCATCAGTCTCTGAGGCTTTTGTGGAAGTCTTCACATGTACCAACACTTCCTCCAAGATGGTGATCGAACTTAAGGGGAAGAGCATGATTTCAACATAATATTGTGAAGGTTTAGGTTAATATTAAATAACATGCACAACACTCCTTTTCCAGCAATTCTTACTTGGCTTTACAATGGATAAATAATGCCCAGTTCATGCAGAGGTAGGCAGAGGGCCACTTCAAACAGCAGATTTTGAGTGCCAGTGGGGCAGTTAAAATGTGGCCTATAGGGCACAATCTGCTGAGGGGTTCTGTCCAACTTCCACTGCACTACAATGAGGCAAGGTGAGGTCTTAAAAGAGGGGTCTGGTAGGGAACCAAAAGATCAGGTGTTGGAGCCCAGCTTCTTATTTTAAAAAGAAAGGTACCCTTGGGTAACTAACTCCATGCATAATGATTTACCTAAGCCACATCATGCACAAAACTAACACCAAGAGAAGACCTACAAACTTAACAGCACTTCCAGAACTTTGCCATAAACAAGGCATCTTGGAAAAAGGCACATGTATTGCACTCCTCAAGTCCTGTCTCACTTCTCTCCAGACAAGGGTGTTCCTTCTGCACAAAAGGGGTCTACAATTTGCAGTGTAAGCAGCAGCAGCCTTATGATTTCCCATGAAAAGGCAATTTCTACTGACAGACGTTTTGCTCTGTTACATCTGGAGAAAGCCCTCAATAAACCTCTAATCTCACAACAAAGAGCTGAAGTTTGGGAAGTAGTTGCAGATACCTGTCCAGGATGGATCCCAATTTCTTTGCAACATGTGCTCGAAATTCTGGAGTGGTCTGCAGTTCATTCTGATCCTGCCCACGATTGCTGACCTTATGTCTGTTTAAGAAGAAGACACAAACAAATGGTAATTGGCTTGAAGCCTGGTAGAAAACAGTGGCCCTTGTTTAAAAAAAGCTAGAGAAACTGGAATATATTCTTAAAATTCTGGAATGAGCCAACCAGAAGTTTAAAGAAAAAAATAAATTGGTTTAGTGACAGCCTTAGTACAATTCCCTAAGGACAGACAGGAAGCATTCGTTTTATCTCCATATCCATTGGCACCAATTCCAGTGTAAGAGATGGAGGCACTAAATGTTTTAAAAGAGTTCCATGGAGTAGCTAGGAAAGTATAGACCTGTTAGGGAGCACCCCTAAACAGGCCTCCTCTGTTATGAGTAAATTAGTGGAAAGGATTCATTTGAAATTATTTGTCTTCCAGGTAAACAGGTAACAGGAGTTACACCCTTCTATGGCTACTGACATCAGCACAGCCAGTTTTTATTTTCGGTTTTCAATTCTGGGTATCTGCCATATGGTATGTGCTAAGAGATGGGGAGGGGTGTCAGAGAAGCAAGGGGCTTCTCTGTCTTATACTGCACTGAAGAGGAATGGATTGCATCTAAGGTCATTTGTTATCGTGCACGAGGCAGACACTGTGTGAAGAATAATCTGTGAAATTGCTTTTGCATGGGAGTTGGATAGGACAGGTTGCTACCCCACCATTAAGGTGCCCCATTAAGACATTCCTGTTAATGCAGGTGAAGAACCTCTCTGCATCCATGGAAATGACTCTGGCCAGGGAGGGGCTTTGATCAGCAACAGCTAATATGTTGAACTGGAGTCTAAGAAAATCTGTTGCTCCTTGCCATTTGGGAACATATCCCATGTGTTAGGTGTTAAATCGTGGTAAGCCAGTTGGTCAGAAGGGTAGTAAAAAATTTGGCATCTACATTTATAAGAGAGAAGATTGGTCTTAGCTGGCACTTGGCTGAGGGGTCACATCCTGGTTTCAGTTTTATTGATGTACTAGCCTCAAACTACTCTCTGGTATGGTTTCTGAGGCTAACTTTGCTAGCACTGGTGAAAAGATATCTATTAGAACTCTATACCATTCCATACAAAAGACAGCAGGGCCAGGTGCTTTACCTGCTTTCATCCATTTTATTGTCTGCTCTATTTCAGGCCCTGTAACAGGAGCCCAAAGACATTTCCTGCTGTGTCTCGAGAGCCCCGACATTTCAACCTTTCTCAGCAACAGTCTTTTTGAGGATTAATGACACCTTTGTAAAGTTGGAATAAAATTCCTGGAATTGTTTATTAATGGCTTTTGTGTCTTTGTGGAACTGTCCCTGAGGAACTTTGATGCTACAGGTGATAGATCTATTTTTTTTGTTTTAATCTATAAATCACTAACTTCTTTCCAGCTCTAAAAGCATTTCCCCCACCAATTTTCTATTGATAAGACACTGTAGAATCTTCCTAAGCTAGCTTACATTGTACCCCACAGTAAGGACTGATTAATTTCTGGAATGTCATTAACTTGTAAATATTTCTAAATTGCCAGGGTAATCATTGGTATTAATTTTTTAAAATATTATAAATGTATGGATTATAAATTTGGGCATCTGTTAAGGATCTCATGAAAATACATCTCTGTTAGTCAAGTTTCATCATACGGAGCAATCTGAACAGGTAGGCAGTTAAAAGAAAGTTCATCTATAAGGGGGTACAGACATAAAGATAGCCTTGCTCCATCCAGTCCAGCATCCTGTCTCACAGAGAGGCCAACCAGTTGCCCTGCAGGGTCAAGTAAAAGGGCACAGAGGCCAAGGTTTTCCTCTGATGCTGCCTTCTGGCACTGGTATTCAGAGGTTTACTGCTTCCGAATATGGAGGTTCCTTTTAGTCACCATGGCTAGTAGCTACTAATGGATTTATCCTTCATTAATTTATCTAATCCCCTTTTAAATCATCCATGCTTGTGGCCATCACTACATCCTCTGGCAGTAAATTCCACATTTTAATAACTGAGTTAAAAAGTACTTCCTTTGTCAAGCCTATTCCTTCAACTTCATTGGGTATCCTCAAGTTCTAGTGCATCACCTTGCACTTATCTACAGTGTTCCCTCTAAGCTGAGTTACTGTGAGGTAGCTGACAGAGTTTTAGCCTCCAGCTCACAGATTTTTTGTCTTAGCTCAGGAAGGATGGCTCCAGAGCAAACTAATTTATGCAGTAGCCAAATCGCTCACTCACAACTTTAATGCCAGTAGCTCGCAAAGTAGAATTTTTGCTCACAAGACTCCACAGCTTAGAGGAAGCATTGCCTACAATGAACTTCATTTGCCACATTGTTGTTCATTCATTCAGTTTAAAGAGATAATCCTGGAGCTCTTCACTGTTGGCAATAACAAGTGTGAAGGTTCTGGCTTCACATTCAGCAACTAAAATTAGGTATCCACCTGCTCCATTTTAGATTTAACATGTTTAAAAGGCCCAGAGTCAAAATCCTGCCTGACCCAGTTTGGTGTAGTGGTTAAAGTGCGCGGACTCTAATCTGGGAGAACCGGGTTTGATTCCCCACTCCTCCACTTGCACGTGGCTGGATGACCTTGGGCAAGCCATAGTTCTGATAAGAGCTGTTCTTGAAAAAGAGCAGTTTCTGTCAAGAGCTCTCTCAGCCTCACCTACCTCACAGGGTGTCTGTTGTGGGGAGGGGAAGGGAAAGGAGTTTGTAAGCCGCTCTGAGACACCTTTGGGTAGTGAAGGGCGGGGTATAAATCCAATCTCTTCTTCTTCTTCTTCTCTACATGAAACTGATGGGTTGGATCCAGACTAAGGTTTTTATCAGGAAAATGGAACTTTATACCCCCTTCCTCTTGATTCCCATGAAATGTTTGGGATATGAGACCCTGAGAATAATACAGGTGGCGGCGACAGTGGAAACTGACAAATTAATCTCGATCTAAGCCAATGGTTTTAAGACATCAAGACAAATTCATGAATCATAGGTGTATCAATTGCTATTAAGTTCAAAAATGAAATGGAAATTCTGTGTTCAGCAGCAGTCCACCTCTGAATACCTTGCTTCCGAATGTATGTTTAATTGATTAAAGTCCTTAGAAAAGTCAACGTGCCAGGAAGTACAGTCTTCCCTCTCCCAATGCTTTAACTTTCTGTGTGCCAGGATTTGACACATATATGGGGAAAGTATTCAAATATACATTCAGAGAGGATGAACGACCCCAGGAGGCCTGTACACTAGTGTTTCTAATGAATGTACCATTTTCAGCTTCCAATAGATATGGTTAGAATCTTGATGTTTAGTCAACTGTAGAATATGAAAGGTACCTGATACTAGATACAACTGATGGCATCTTGCTCTCTGAGAAGTCACCTGACACAAAAAAGTTTTTTAAAAATCAAAGTTAGAAATACTTCACTTTAAACAAAATATTCAGCATTAATGAGTTGCTCTTGAACATAAACACAATATCTGCCAAGGATCACATGAAGAATACAGGCAATGATTCAGAATCCTAGAGTGGCTGTTTTCACCCAATGGTTAAAATCAGGTCACTCACCCACCCTCACCACAACATGTAATGAGAGACTCAACAGAGAAAAGTATTCTGTAACAGCTTGACAAAAGATTGGTGATGTTAATATGGCCCTGGCGTTTGCAAGACAGCCTGCTTTAGTTCTTGGCCAATTCCTTAGTTCCCAGGTCACCTTCAGACTCCTATGTAAGCAGACCCGTAGCCACTGGGGGGGGGGGATTGGGGGCAATGCCCCCCCCACAGATGAGCATTGCCCCATTGGACATTTTTAAAAAATCAATTTAGGTTTTTTTAGAAACGTGAGATGCACAGGCGGGTTCCAAAATGACATCAGGCAGAGTCAGGGAGGCTTCAGTGTCATTTTCTTTTTTTCCAGGCCAAAAAATAGTTTTTTAAATATGCAAACACATTAAAATAAAACTGCAAAATGCGAGACAGAATCGGAGATTCCCCCACCCCCCCAGCTTACAGAGAAAAGCAGCCCAGAATTGAGTCTCTCCAACTGAAAGGCTATAGGAGGACTAGAGGTCACAGCGGAGCCAGAGTTTCCCGCCCAGGTTTCCCCACGCCCCACCAACCAAAAGTTTCTGGCTACACCCCTGTATGTAAGATACAGCTAGAACCAATTTAAATGATGTATGGTGATGTTTGTTCAGGAGGCCATAATTGCAAATAAGGCAGCAGTGACATGGTTGGTCAGAGTTTTTTTAAGGAGATAATCACGACCTGTGCAGATGCTACAGAACATTTGCATAAGTGTAATCCAATACGGTTCTTCTAGGTTTCCTAACAATAAACAAAAGCTCCTTAGTCTTTAAGACCTCCCAAAGAGATTTTGCTTTGGGTACCTTCTTTTTTGAGGGAAGTGAGCTCATTGGTATTACAACAGACTCTGACCACCTCATTGCTTAGTTCTATGTTGCCCCCTGAAAATTTTAGACATACCTAGGCATTATAAGGCTGCAGTCCCATGGACGATTAAAAGAAGAGGAGACTGAATTTAAACCCCGTCCTTCACTACCCAAAGGAGTCTCAGAGCGGCTTACAATTCCTTTCCCTCCCCCTCCCCACAACAGACACCCCGTGAGGTGGATGGGGCTGAGAGAACAGCTCTGAGAGAACTTGTGACTGACCCAAGGTCACCCAGTTGGCTGCCTGTGGAGAAGACAAAACTGGGAAATCAAACCTGATTCTCCCAGATATGAGTCCACGCTCTTAACCACTACACCAAATTTAGGCCTTCCGAGTAGAGGAGGAGGAGATTGGATTTATACCCCGCCCTTCACTTGGAGTCTCAGAGCGGCTTACAAACTCCTTTCCCTTCCCCTCCCCACAACAGACACCCTGTGAGGTGGGTGGGGCTGAGAGAGCTCTGACACAAACTGCTCTTTTTCAAGGACAGCTGTGCCAGAGCTTGTGACTGACCCAAGGTCACATCAGCAGGTGCGAGTGGAGGAGTGGGGAATCAAACCCGGTTCTCCCAGATTAGAGTCCGCACACTTAACCACTACACCAAACTGGATAGGCCTAGGTTGCTACCCCCCCACCCCACCTTTGCTACTGTTTTTCTGTCTCTACTGCTTGTTGTTGATTCTTTTTTACTTTTGGGGTTTGTGTCTAAAAGCAAGAATGGACTTGGATGCAAAGGAGATGAATAAAATCAGCGCGCCACCAAGCCATTTGTTCAGGGCTATTTTGTAAAGGGTTTTCTTGGTAAAGATACTGGATTAGGTTGCCATTTAACATCACAGTAATCCAAGTCTATGCCCCAACCACTGATGCAGAAGAGACTGAAGTGGACTGGTTCTATCAAGACCTACAACACCTCATAAATCTACTACCAAAAAACGATGTCCTCATCATCATAGGGGACTGGAATGCTAAAGTAGGAAGTCAAAAGTTAACCGGAATGACAAGTTTGGCCTTGGAGAACAAAATGAAGCAGGGCAAAGGCTAACAGAATTTTGTCAGGAGAAGATGCTGGTTATAGCGAACACCCTTTCCCAACAACCTAAGAGGCGACTCTACACAGGGACATCACCAGATGGGCAACACCGAAATCAGATTGACTATATAATTTGCAGTCAAAGTTCCATACAGTCAGTAAAAACAAGACCTGGAGCTGACTGTGGCTCAGATCATGAGCTACTCACTGCAAAATTCCGACTTAAACTGAAGAAAATTGGGAAAACCACTAGGCCATCCAGGTTTGACCTAGATCGCATCCTTGATGAATATACAGTAGAGGTGAAGAATAGGTTTAAGGGACTAGATTTGATAGAGTGCCTGAAGCACTATGGACGGAGGTTTGTGACATTGTACAGGAGGCAGCAATCACCACTATCCTGAAGAAAAAGAAATGCAAGAAAGCAAAGTGGCTGTCTGATGAGGCTTTACAAATAGCAGAGGAAAGAAGGAAAGCAAAAGGCAAAGGTGAAAAGGGAAGATTTACCCAAATGAATGCAGATTTCCAAAGAACAGCAAGGAGAGATAAGGAGGCTTTCCTAAATGAACAATGCAGAGTAATAGAGGAAAACAATAGAATGGGAAGGACTAGAGATCTCTTCAAGAAAATTGGAGAACTCAAGGGAATGTTCCATGCAAAGCTGGTCATGATAAAGGACAAAAATGGTAGGGACCTAACAGAAGCAGAAAAGATTAGGAAAAGATGGCAAGAATACACAGAAGAACTATATAAGAAGGACCTCAATGTCCTTGACAACCACGATGGTATAATCACAGACCTCGAGCCAGACATCCTGGAATGTGAAATTAAATGGGCCTTAGAAAGCATTGCTAACAACAAAGCTAGTGGAGGTGATGGTATTCCAGCTGAGCTATTCAAAGTCTTAGAAGATGATGCTGTTAAAGTGCTGCACTCCATTTGCCAGCAAATTTGGAAAACGCAACAGTGGCCACAGGATTGGAAAAGATCAGTATACATTCCAATCCCAAAGAAGGGCAACGCCAAGGAATGTTCAAACTATCGCACAATTGCACTCATATCACACGCTAGCAAGGTCATGCTCAAGATCCTACAAGCTAGGCTTCAACAGTACGTGGATAGAGAACTACCAGAAGTACAAGCTGGGTTTCGAAGAGGTAGAGGAACTAGAGATCAAATTGCCAACATTCGCTGGATTATGGAGAAAGCAAGAGAGTACCAGAAAAATATCTACTTCTGCTTCATTGACTATGCTAAAGCTTTTGACTGTGTGGATCACAACAAACTATGGCAGGTCCTTAAAGAGATGGGAGTACCAGACCACCTCACATGTCTCTTGAGAAACCTGTATAAGGGCCAAGAAGCGACAGTTAGAACCGGATACGGAACAACTGATTGGTTCAGCATAGGAAAAGGAGTACGACAAGGATGTATACTGTCACCTTGCTTATTTAATATATATGCAGAGTACATCATGCGAAATGCTGGCCTGGATGAATCACAAGCGGGAATTAAGATTGCTGGGGAAAAGATCAACAACCTCAGATATGCAGATGATACCACTCTAATGGCTGAAAGTGAAAAGGATCTAAAGAGCCTCTTGCTCAGAGTAAAAGAGGAGAGCAGGAAAGCGATGGCAAACCTAAACAGCATGATAAAAAGTAGAGACATCACCCTGCCAACAAAAGTCCGCATGGTCAAAGCAGTGGTATTCCCAGTAGTCATGTATGGCTGCGGGAGTTGGACTATAAGGAAGGCCGAGCGCCGAAGAATAGATTCTTTTGAACTATGGTGCTGGAGAAGAGTCCCTTGGACTGCAAGGAGATCAAATCAGTCAATCCTAAAAAAAAATCAACCCTTACTGTTCCCTGGAAGGCCAGATAATGAAGATGAAGCTCAAATACTTTGGCCACCAAATGAGAAGGGAGCACTCACTGGAAAAGACCCTGATGCTGGGAAAGATTGAAGGTCAAAGAAGAAGGGGACGGCAAAGGATGAGATGGTTGGACAGTGTCACCGATGCAACGAACATGAAACTGAGCAAACTTCAGAGGACGGAGGGCCTGGCCTGAATCCTGATGTGGTCCATGTGGTCGCGAAGAGTCGGACTTGACTGCGACTGAACAACAACATTTTTGAAAAGCCCTGTGCATTATTTCATGCACTCATTCGTGGGGGCAAAATGCATTATTTCTGGAGGAACATGAAAAGGCCGCACCAAGGAACGTGCGGCTATTTTCTCTAGTCTCGCTGCCGCACCAAGGACCTTTCGACCCTCCCTACCGTCTGAAGACTTCAGAGAAGCCGCCGCTACCAGGGGCCCCTCGTCCCATACTGCTTCTCGAAACCGCTCCCACTCTTCGTCGCCGGTGCTTTCAGAGTCTGAAGAACCCGTGGCCGCCGCCATGCTGAAAATCTCCGGATCAGAGTATGCTGGGAGATGTAGTTCAGGCCTAGTTTGGTGCGCTCTCTCCTGGCCTTTGAAGGTATAGTAGGTACCCCAGAGCTAAACGTAGCAGTACGTGCCATACTCCGCCCGCTTTATTTCCATGTAACAAGCTATACATGAGGAGGAGCTTAAGGCTCAAACACACATTATGGAATAGTTTAATTCCAGCCTCACAAGAAAAATAATAATCATAAAATTAATTTTATCTCTCCGATAAGGCTGGTTCATATGTGCCTTTAACGTCTGCACAAAAACCAGGTCAGGAGGCAAACATTTTTCCTGGCATGTATAATGCGGAAACCTTCCCCTTCTGAATTTCTACCATAAAGATTTCAGAGGAAGAAAGGGAGGAAGGAAGAGAGAAAGGAAGAAATCTGGCAACTTGTTTATTGTATCAAATATCTACATAGAAATTCTTCTTGAGACACAGGGGCAGCTGTTGAATAACACTAGTAGTTTTATAGGTTTGATAATTTATTGTTCTCATTTTAATAACAAAATGTTTCCAGAGCAAGGCTCAAAAACATAATAAAACAGTAAATAATGAAATTACATATACAGTAGTAAATAGAAGATACAACCAAATCCATAGCCAGCAAATTATAATTAGCAGTCAACACACATCTAGCTCAGTAGGTCCAGTACACTCAGAAAACCAGTGAAATCCTTAGAAATCCCATTGGACTCTGTAACCTAAAGACCAGTTTGAAGTGGCCAGCCACTTGATGTGAAATGTAACCACCAGCAAATTAATGATGTTGGTAAATTGGAAAACATGTGGAACAAAACACTCTTTTAAATATTTTGGACAATGCCCCAAAATGGCTTTTGCAATGAGCACCAGTACTTTGAACTTCGTTGGAAAGAAAACTGGTAATGCCCTTCCCTGGACCTGGACAGCCCAGGCAAGCCCGATCTCGGAAGCTAAGCAAGTACTTAGAAGGGTGACCTCCAAGAAATACCAGGGCCGAGAGATAGAGGCAGGTAATATAAGCCACCTCTCTGAAATGTCTTAGCCCCACTAGGAGTCAGCAGAAGTCACCATGACTTCCAGGCTTGCAAGCACATACACAAAATACCACAAAAAACCCCCAACAACTGGTAATCATCTTTCTTTCTTGCTCCCCCCCTCCCTCCCCTCATAGCAGGATCGGGGCAGGTTCCATCAAATTTAGTTAAAATACAATATACAAAAAATAAAACAGAACACCAATAAAATACAACAACATTCATCCGGTGCAAGTTAAAGTTAAAGACTCACAGATGTTATCTCTTTCAAGATTTGGTCCTTAGATGGTAATGCAGTTCTGACCCACTGAGAGGAGGCCCAGTAGAGCGCCAGAGTACTATTAAGTACTTGAAATTAATGCGAATGTTGAGGACTCCCACCCCCATACACATCTGGGGAGTCCAGAGTTGCTTCTGGACAGCATTGAAGAGTAGCTTCACGTTACAGCAACTGCAGTAGCTCAAAAATAGTTTCAAAACAAGGAGATAGCCCTAGGGCAGAGAAACTATATCCCAAATACTGCTGACTGGTCAATAGTAAGGTAAAGGTAAAGGTTCCCTTGCTCGAAAGCCAGTCGAATCCGACTCTAGGGTTGCGGTGCTCATCTCCGTTTCAAAGCCGAAGAGCCAGCGCTGTCCGAAGACGTTTCTGTGGTCATGTGGGCGGCATGACTAAACACCAAGGCGCACGGTACGCTGTTACCTTCCCACTGAAGTGGTACCTATTTATCTACTTGCAATGTCTTGCTTTCGAACTGCTAGGTTGGCAGGAGCTGGAACTAGAGACGGGAGCTCACTCCGTCATGCGGCACACTCGGGTCTCGAACTGCTGAACTACTGACCTTCCACAGCCTGCAGTTCAGCGTCTTAACCACTTGAGCCACCGCAGCTCCTTTTGTCAATAGTAAGGAACACTAATTATTTTGAGAAATCAAAACGTGATAAAGAAATAAGTTCTGCACATATGCACGAACATTTTAATACAGGAAATTATTTCAGAACAAAAGGTACACATTCAAAAACCAAAGGTTCTGGGCAACTGAAATTAATTAAACTCTCAGTAATGCTACCAACAAGTTTCTCATCTCTCTCAAGCGATCCCTTTAGCTGTCAGAACTCTAGTTGCTGCGGCTGCTCCCGCCTCCAAGCGGACCTTTCCTTACAGCGGACACTTTGTGCTACTCTGGAAGTAGTCCCTTCCGACATAGCCCGACTTCCGGTAGAAGAAAAAATCAGGTGACAGTTGTAAACTCGGGAGGCGGAGTAAGACAGTCGAGCTGGGGGCCGACATTTCTGTGAGAGGGCTTCTGAGTCGCGGAAGGAGCCAGCGGTGGCCCCCTTCCCGGTGAGAGACCCCTGCCTAGGCCAATCATGGCTGAGAAGAGGAGGGGGTGGGTTGAGCAGTCCACTTGCCAAGGGAGGAGCCTCGATCGGGATGGGTCAGGCAGTTTGAAGGAAGGGAGAGATGGGGGTCGTGAGAGGTGCCGGAGCTCAATGCCTTCCTCAAAGCTTCGCCTTTCATACTGGATGACCTGGCCAGGAAGGTCGGCTACTGGCGACAAGCAGCCGGGGAGAGGGAAGGTTTCCGGGTTGTTTATGGGCTACCGAAGGACAACTGTCTGGGCACTGCTTGGAAGCAGGAAGATGGACTAGATGGGCCCTGGCCTTCATTCAGCAGCACTTATTTTCTTGTTAAGTGTGTGCAGAAGAGTTTTACCTTAAAAGAAGGGTCCAGTGGCACCTTATAGTCTGACAAAATGTAAAGTCTTCAAGGTGACACTGGGCCCCTGTTTTATGTTGCTGCCTCAGACTAACAAGGCTACGTGTCTGGAATGGTCTTAAAATGTTGATCTACCTTTAGAGTCCAAACATGGATTTTCAAAGTGGCGTAGAAACAGTTAAAGCTGGGGAGGTTATGGTTTATTGTTATTTGTGTGTATGCATGGGAAGAGGTGCTGGAGGCTAGAACCATCAGTACAATCCAGGCAGCTGTGCATCACACCCCCCCCCCCCGTGTCGAAAAAAAAGAATATAGAAA